GTCAACCATTTTGAATCATATTGCATGAGTTCCTTGTTTTTTAATGCAGCATAGTATTCCATTGTGCGAATATACCACAGCTTCTCTAGACATTCGTTTGTTGATGGACACACACACTATTTATTATTTTATTTTGTGTGTGTGTACCGTCAAATCGGATTTGACTGGTACAGGAGGAGATTGTCCCTCCCTCTCCAGCAGAGCATCTGGTGGATTCGAACCACGTGCCTCTGGGATTGCAGTGCAGCTTCTTACCACTAGGCCACCAGAGCTCCCTTAGGGGACTAAGTTTTGATTCTGTAGAGGAGCAAAACCAGTCTGAGAAGGGGTGTGAGAAGGTGGGGGTCCTGAGAGGGCACAGAGAGGTGGGCAGCCTGGTGTTTCACAGACCTCTCCTGTGACCCCACTCCAGGGAGGATCCGCTGGGCTTTGAGGGCAAAGATGACCTCCCCATGACCAAAGAGGAGCTTCTCAGCCAAGTGGTGAAGTCGGTGAGTGTGGGGGTCCGGGAGATGTGGGGAACCCTGCAGCACCCCGCAGCTGACGGGCCCTCACCCCGCTCTCCCCAAGCTGGAGTCCCGGGAGCAGGCGCGCGAACAGCACCTCAGGGAGCTGGCCGAGATGGCACAGAAGACGGAGAGCAACGTGGGCCTCATCCCTGGCTCCATCCTGAGTCACAGGACCGAAGGCGGCGGAGGCCGCACCACCGGCCCCACCCACGTCACCTTTGGGGACGTCCCCAGCTCCAGCGTGGGCCACGCCTCCAGCCTCGCCACCTATGGGGACTCCACTGGCACCAGCCTCGGCCAGGACACGTCCCAGGCCATCAGCTCCGGGAGCTACCAGGGCTCCACCACGTACGCGGAGTCCAACGAGGGCCAGGGGGACCCCAGCCTGGGCGTGGGGTCCGAGTCCAGCGCAGGTCGCGCCTCCAGCCCGGTTCCCGCTTCGAGCACGGGCGCCGGCTCCATCACCAGCAGAGACTCTCAGGCCACTTTTTAGGCCCCTGGAACCCTCTCCCCCCCAGCCTGGCTCCAAGCTGGGGTCCCTCTGAGTCTCTGCTCCCTGCGCCTCCCCTGAGCTTCAGCCTCCACCCCAACTCCTTTTTTTGCCTGCTGGCTCCCCTTCCATCTCCCAAGCCCTGTGCCTTGTATTTCCCATTCAGCCCCCCATCTCTGTGTCCCCCGAAGTCTCTAGTTCCCACTTTCCTCTCTCCTTGCTGCCGCCCCCCCCCAGTTCTGGATCTTGGCCCTGTTCCTATAGCACCTCATTCCTCACGCCTCTCCCCACTCCTGACAGTGGAGGGGGCGTGGATCAGAACCAGGAGGTGGGCCCAGCCTGAGTGGCAACCACGGGAAATAAAGGGCTGAGCCCAGGTGTCACCCAGCCTGGTGACCAGTGTGTGAGTGACCGTGACACTTCCTGTTGGTCATGGATGGACTCAGTGACTGGCGTAATGGGGGTGGGTGTATCAGAGACCGTGAACTTGGCTCAGGGTAGAACAGGGTTCAGGGCTGTTGTACGTAGTCACCAGCGACTCGATGCCACACAACAACAACAACCAACAGCCATTCATTCACACAGTCCTTTGGTGGCACAAATGGTTAACCATGAGTCTGTTAAGGGAAAGGGCCGGCCAGCACAATTCCAAGGTGCCTCGGAAGAAAGGCCTGGCAATCTGCTATTGCTGGAAGGGGGGCGGGGAATCAGCCACTGAGAACCCCGGCAGAGCCCAATTCGACTCAGACACGTGTATGGTCTTCACAAGTCGGAATAGACAATGACAGCCACTAACCGAACAGCTGGCAGTTTGAACCCCCAGAGGTGCCTGGAAAGCTGCTTCCATATGGATTAACTCACGTGTACAGCTTTTAACTGAGTGTGATTTTTCCAATACGTTTCCAAGGCTGTACATCTTTATGGGAAGAGATTGTTCATCTGCCTCCTGGGGAGCGCCTAGGGGATTAGAACCGTAGACCTTTCAGTGAGCAGCCCAACCCAACACTCACTGTGCCACCAGGGCTCCCTCCAGAAAGATTACTCACAAGAAAACCCTACTGAACCACCGTCCTCTAGCACGAGAGGGCCTCAGGCATCAGCATCGGCTCGGTGGTGCTGTGTTTGAGTTATTTAATGTGGACTCATGATAGCCTTGATGCTCAGCTCTCAAAATCTAAAAGGCTGGCAGTTCAAGACCACGCAGAAGCACCTTGGAAAAGAGGCCTGGTAATCTGCTTGCAGACAAAACTGTTGTTGTTGTT